AGCAGCACCACGTGACATCTCCACAGACACCAGGGTGTTCTCACCCCTACAACAAGGTCAGGTTGGACAGGACTTGGAGCAACCTGGGCTAGTGGAAGGTGTCCCTGCCCATGGCAGGAGAGGTGGAATGAGATGATCTGTAAGGTCCTTCCCACCCAAACCAATCCATGATTCTGTGACCATGCAAAGCTCTCACCTGCCTCAGATCAGCAACGCTGTATTTGTGGGGACACTCCAAGAGGTAATGCCTGTGATCAAGCCTGCAAAGAAGCAGAGAGAAAGGTTTCCACCACATCTCCAACACCTTTGGAACGAGGAGGAGCCTGGATGATGCAGATCACTGCAGAGCTGACTTTCACATGGTGCCACACATCTCAAATCCTGCTTCTGGAAATCGTGTGAGAGCATTTCAAAGTGGGGGAAAAAGGGAAAATAAATATCTCATCTATTTTCCCAGGTGTTTCCTGTCCAGCCAGAAGCTCCTAGGCCAGGAAGGTGTTTCCTGAGTCACAGCTCAACGTGCTGACGCAGCCAACAGAAGGATAACTCCTTAGAGCAGATGATACGGAGTGAAACACCAGCTCTGGCGGTGGGTGAGGAGGAGCAGAGACCACTGGGGTGCAAAGAGGGGGGAATGTCACCCAGAGAGGGAGCTCACCTCTTGCTCAGCTCCTTCAGGGCGCCGCTGCGGCACATGATGAGGTAATCCCCCAGCAGCTTCAGCTGCTCCCTGCTCCGCAGGATCCGCCCCATCCTCTCCACGTGCTCGTAGAGGCTCCCGTTGACCAGCTTCAGGTCGATCAGCGGCTGGTTACGGATCTGGGTGAGGAACTTCAGGGCCTGCTTGCACACCTGGGGCACAGAGAGGTGAGAGGTGGGCATGGAGGGGCAGCCCTGGGGGCTTGGGGGAGGTCTAGGGTGGGTATCTCCACCTCAGGGAATGTCTAGATGGACCTCCAGCCCAGGCAGATGTCAGAGTGTTTGTCTTAATTGTAGAAATCCAAACCCATATGGATATAACCACCAAAACTGAGACCATTGTTAAGTCATGGATGGCAATGTTACTGACTAATCTCAGGCTCTGGAGTAGGTTTGCCCAGGGAGGTGCTGGAGTCATCTGGAGGTGTCAAGAGGTGTCTGGAGGATGTGGTTTAGGGTTTAGGGCTTACAGTGGAGTGAGTTTAACAGCTGGACCTGATGATCTTAGAGGTCTCCTCCAGCCTTGATGATTTTATGATTCTAATGAGTGGCCAGGATTTTCAACCTACAGGAGGGAATATTTTATCACTGCCATCACACTCCCAAATCATGGTGACTTGGGAGAAGTAGATAGGAACCTCTTTGTCTCTTCTGGTACAAGAACTCTGGAGCATCAAATGAAGCTATCAGCAGCCACGTTATGGCTGGACTTATCTTACAGTTCCAGCCTTGGTGATGACTCTGTGACTCTGCATGGCCTCAGCCCAAGACTCACCCCTCGTTTTGTCAGGTCCCAGTTGTGGATGAGGCGGGAGGGAATCACTGTCTCCTCATCCCGGTGGCAGCTGTCGCAGTAGTAGAGGCCGGAGAAGGCACAGAGCTTGGGCTTGGTGAAGGAGAAACCAATCTGCCTGGAGCAGCCTGTGGGGAGCAGGGTATGAGAGGGGACCTGTGCCCACCACTGCCAGGGTGGGGAGAAACTTTGGCAGGGGAGAATGGAACAACCAAGGTTTGGGGGGGTGGAGATCAGCTGAAGCACTTAGGATGTTCATTCAGAGGTCCCCAGCCCCTTCCCCATGGACTTAAGGCCATGATGGTCCAACAGACACCACTTTACTCTCCATAAAAAGGAGTCTGGACTATCCCTGAACCCACTTTTACCCATCAAGTGGTTCAACTGTTTGTTTTTTTTTTTCTTCAGGAAAAGTGAATTCTGGAAATATCCCAGAGGTTTAGGGAGGAACCAAATCTCACCTTCTGCCTGTTGAAGAATGGTTAAGGGAACAGGGATGGAGTCTAGTCCTGACAGGGCGAGGGTATGCCGCTGTCAAAAAACATGGAAAAGTTAAGTGGTGCCCACTTAAGTCCATCAAACCAGACCTTCAGAATAAAACTAATGAAAACCTGTGAGTTTTTATCCACAGGACCAGGTTATCGGATATCCCCATGATTTGTACACCTCAGAGATGAACGGAGACGACAAGGCAACAAGCATCCAGTCCACGCCTAAGAGCTCTGCGCCAATGCTAACACTGGCTTTGGGACCCTGCATATTGAACAGGCTCGTGTCATTCGTCAAGAGCCGATTAGAAAAGGTCAACATTATGTTGGTAGAACGCCGACAACTGCTTTAAGAATGTCTTTGTCTAGCAATCCCTTTAGTTATCCCCAGT